GGGGGTGGGGGAGGGGAGTGAGGGGGAGGGCGTGGCTGTGTACCTGGTTGGTGAATGAGCAGGACATGACGAAGGATGGGTGTCCGGTGGCGCATCCCAGGTTAAGGAGGCGGCCCTCCGCCAGCACGATGACGCCGTGGCCGTCGGGGAAGACGAACCGGTCAACCTGAGGCTTGATGTTCACCTTCTTCATCCCTGCACACACACCATGCCCATGCACCACACGCCACGCCCATGGATTGGATAAGGGAGAGAGATCCGTCTCGTGTGTGTGTTTAGGTGCGTTTAGGTACCGGGGTAGCCCTCGAGGCCGGCCATGTCGATCTCATTGTCGAAGTGGCCGATGTTGCCTGATGGGACACGCACACACAGAGGGACAGATGGGGATGGGGGCACATTCACATCACACAGACCAGACATTATACACACGGGCGGGCAGACAGAGAGACGTCACGTACCGACGATGGCGTTATTCTTCATTTTGGCCATCATCTCGCAGGTGATGATGTCCTTGTTGCCCGTAGTGGAGATGAACACGTCGGCGTCGCTGATGACCGTCTCCATCTTGACCACATGGTAACCCTCCATGCACGCCTACACACCACACACCACAACCATCCCACACACACACACACACATGTTCCTCTCTCTCTCTCTCTCCCTCTCTCCCTCTCTCTGTGCACACCTGGAGAGCGCAGAGCGGGTCGATCTCAGTGACGAAGACCCTGGCACCACAGCCCTTCATGGCCACGGCGCACCCCTTGCCGACATCGCCGAAGCCGCAGATGACCACCTTCTTGCCGCCGAGCATCACGTCGGTCGCCCGCATGATACCATCCGGCAGCGAATGACGACACCTGACTCACACACAGAGGCAGAGAAAGCGGCCAGCATGACATGAGGCGCGCGCAGGGGCGACGGAGAGGGACAGGGGTTTACCCATAGACGTTGTCGAATTTGCTCTTGGAGACGCAGTCGTTGACATTGATAGCGGGGAAGAGAAGCTCCTTGTTGGCGGCCATCTCGCGCAGCCGGTGGACGCCCGTGGTGGTCTCCTCGCTCACGCCCTTGATCTTGGCCGCCATCTTCTGCCACTTCTTGGGGTCCTTCTGCAGGCAATCCTTCAGCACCTGATATATGCGCGATCCGGCGGACACACAGGCAGTGTGAGTGGGGGCATGGCTGGGTGCGTGTTGGTGTGTGTACCTGTAGGACGCATTTGAACTCGGGGTTGGTGGTCGATGAGGGGTCGGGGAGGGTGCCGTCCTTCTCGTACTTCTTCTCAGCCTTTACGCCTACACACACAACACACAACACCAACACCCACATACGCATCCATTTGGGCCGAGCCCCCTCAGCGACCTTCCTCTCTCTCGCACTCTTTCTCTGTGACCGACCCTCGTGGATGAGGAGTGTGGCATCGCCGCCGTCGTCGACGATCATGTCACACCCGTCGGTATCTGGCCACGTCAGGCACTGCAGAGTGCACCACCAGTACTCCTCGAGTGTCTCGCCTGACACAGAATCAGAGGCAAAGGCAACGTGCACCCTCTCTTTCGCCTCTCTCTCTCTCTCTCTCTCACTCACTCACCCTTCCAGGCGAAGACTGCGGCGGTCTGTGCCTTGGCGATGGCGGCAGCGGCGTGGTCCTGCGTGCTGAAGATGTTGCAGCTGCACCAGCGGACAGACGCGCCGAGTTGCTGAAGCGTCTCAATCAGCACCTGCACGCACACAACAACCACACGCGCAGCAACCACCCCACCATGCCAGTGCAGTGTGTGCCACTGCGCGCGACGCCGTGTCTCCCCCCTCCACGCACCGCCGTCTGCACAGTCATATGGAGCGACCCCGAGATCTTGACGCCCTTGAGCGGCTGCTGGGGTCCGAACTCCTTCCTGGCGGCCATGAGGCCCGGCATCTCCACCTCGGCGAGCTCTATCTCCCGCCGGCCGAACTCGGCGAGCGACATGTCCTTCACCTTAGAGCCGGCCATCGTGTGCGGGATGAAAGATCAGCTGGCGACGAGAGAGAGGGGTGCGGTTGGCAGGTGGGGTGACGCGGGGGAACGCAGAGGCAAAGAAATGCACGCAGATCTCGTCAAAGCACTGGTCGACAAAGAGTTTTGTGGGCGCCTCCTCTCGCCCTAACACAAGAACCTGCGAGCTCAGAGGCGGGATTGATTTCTCCCCTGCCATCATTGCTGTGAGTCATGGCGGACAAAGCCAAGGCTGCCGAAGCAAAGGCGCGAGGAAACACGGCTTTCCAAAGTCACGACTACGCGAAGGCTGCGGAGTGCTTCAGCGAGGCCATCAGCCACGACCCGAACGACCACGTGCTCTACTCGAACCGCAGTGGCGCTTATGCATCCCTCAAAGACTTCAGCAAGGCGCTCGACGACGCCGAGAAGTGCGTTGAGCTCAAGGGGGATTGGCCGAAGGTGAGATGGGATGAGATCTGGGATAAGAAGCAGGCAGATCCATTCCATGCAGACAGGGAGAGGGACAGAAGAGAGGGGAGGAGATGATGAACGTGTTCTTTGCTGTTTTGTCAGGGGTATGGTCGCATGGGCCTGGCTCTGTTCAACCTGGGACGGCTCCAGGAGGCAGAGGTCGCATACAAGACCGGTATGTGGGGCGCGGACCACACCACACCACACCACACCACACCACAACCACACACCACGATCATTGGTCGACCGATGCAGGTCTGGAACTTGACCCGAACAATGCAAGCCTGAAGGAAGGGCTGGACACCGTCATGAGGGCCAAGCCAGGACCACCACCTCCTGGCGGCCAGTCAGGCGGTGGGTGGACGGGCGGACGGGGGAACAGATGGATGGATGGATGGATGGATCATTGTGTGTGTGTCTGTGTGTGTGTGTGTGATGGTTTGTGTGTGCAGACAAGACGCAGACGCTCTCACTCGACCCAATGAAGATCATTGCCGCCCTCAGCGACCAGGTGAGTGAGTCAGGGATGGACGGCCACACACATCGGCTACTTTCTGCCTCTGTGGTCATCAGCGTTTCAAGGGCTACGTGGAGGACCGGACCTTCATGAGCGGCCTGGAGCAGCTGATGCAGTGCAAGGACCAGGCGAAGCTCAACCAGCTGCTCACCCAGGACTCTCGCCTCCTGGATGTGCTCATCGCTGCACAGACAGCTCAGCCCCCCAGAGAAGGACCCGTTAGACACACACACACACACGCGCGCACATCCGGTCAAACAGGGCCGACATCCGGTCAAACAGGGCCGACACATGACCTTCCGCGTGTTTTGTTCTGTCGTCAGTTCGGCAATGGTTTTCCCTCTGAGCCGCCGACACGACCACGCGAGGCCGAAAGGCCGAAGCCCAAAGAGGAGACGATGCCGCCTGCAGACAACAGGACGGACCAAGAAAAGGTGTGTTGGATGGATGGATGGATGCACAAGTGAATGGGAGTAGTGGACACCTTAAGGCGCGCGCGTGTGTGTGTGTGTGTGTAGGCGGCGGATAGGTGGAAGGAGAAGGGCAACGCGCTGTACAAGAGCCGCCAGTTCGAGGAGGCCCTCGAGGCCTACAGCAAGGCCATGGAGGTCAACCCCAGCGACATCACTTACAGGAACAACAAGGCCGGTCAGTCAGTGAGGGTGGGGGACACCCACATGCACGAAGAGGAAGGGACATGTGTCTGTGTGTGCGTGTGCGTGTGCGTGTGCGTGTGTGTATGTGTGTGTGGCAGCTGTGTACTTGGAGATGGAGGACTACGAGAGGTGTCTGGCGGAGTGCCAGAAGGCCCTCGACATCAGATACGAGGTCAAGGCAGACTACTCCAAAGTCGCTAAGGTACGATCTCCACACCACACCAGATGCATGAATGGATGAATGGATGGATGGACGTGTCGGTGGGCGGCCACCTTGTGTGTCAGGTCTACAACCGCATGGCGGCCTGCTACACGCGCATGAAGCAGTTCGACGACGCCATCCAGATGTAACCACACCACACCACATCACATCACATCCACGCATCTACACCTGCCTTCATCTGTGCCTCTGTCTGTCTGTGTATCTGTCTGTCTGTCCGTCAGGTACGAGAAGTCCCTGATGGAGGACAACACGAAGCAGACGCGCGCCGCCCTGCAGGAGGCCAAACGGATGAAGGAGAAGTATGACGCTGAGCAGTACATCAACCCGGAAGTGGCTGAGGAGGTACATTGTGCGTGTGTCTGGGTGGCCACCAGCATCAATCACATGACGTGGGCTGTCTGAATGTGTGTGTGTGTGTCAGCACCGAGCCAAGGGCAATGAGTACTGGAAGGAGATGGACTACCCTGCCGCCAAGAAAGGTAAGAGACACAAGGAGGCCGCCATCCATCCATCCATCCACACAAGAGGCGACATCCACTTCTCTGTGTGTGTTCGGGTGTGTGTGTGTCACACAGAGTATGACGAGGCCATTCGGCGCAACCCCAAGGACGCCAAGCTATACAGCAACCGGGCGGCCGCCCTGCTGAAGCTCATGGAATTCCCATCAGCACTCCAGGTCACACACACACACACACACACAGGGAGAGAGAGAGAGGGAGAGAGAGACGGACGACTGTGGCCCACGTGTGTGCATCTGTCTGTTTGTTTGTCTGTCAGGATTGCGAGAAGTGTCTCGCGTTGGATCCCACCTTTGTCAAGGCCATCATCCGCAAGGGCCAATGCCACTTCTACATGAAGGAGTACAACAAGGCCATGCAGACGTATCAGGTCAGCCAGCAACGAATCCCTGGCCTCCCACCTACCCACCCACACACCATCTCCCCCGCTCGCACCTTGTGTGTGTGTGTGTGCGTGTGTGCAGGAGGGTCTCAAGATTGAGCCAGAGAACGACGAGCTGCGCAAGGGCATGGAACAAGTCAGACACCACCAAGACAGCAACAGACGGGCCAGACAGACACACATGGCGCGTCCCTCTCTCTCCCTCTCTCCCTCTGTGTGTGCGTCTCCTCTCCCACCCACAGGTCTTGATGAAGGTTCAGGAGACTGCCACAAGCGGTGAGGTCGACCAGGAGCAGGTGGCCCACGCCATGGCCGACCCCGAGATACAGCGCATCCTCGGCGACCCACAGATGCAGCTCATCATCAAGTCCATGAGTGAAGACCCCAAACACGCTGCAGAGTGAGCGACCACCATCGCCACACGCACACACGGGCTGGGTGCTTTGCTTTGTGGGAGTCTCTCTGCCTTGTGTGTGGCTGTCTGTGTGTCTGTGTGTCTGTGTGCAGGGCAATGAAGGATCCCCAAGTGCGAGCTGCCATATCAAAACTAGCGGCGGCCGGTAAGAGAGAGAGAGAGAGAGAGAGATGGCAAACAAACAGGGGGGCTGCACACCGAGCACTTATGGGGTTGCTGTGTGCTGGATGTGCAGGCATTCTGCGTCTCGGCTGACGGATGGATGGATGCGCACTCGAGCATCGTTTTTCCATACGTGAGTGTGCGGTGCGGCTGAGCACTTTATTCACGTACATGCCATGCGTGAGGGAATTGACGTGCATAATGGTGTGGGGCTGTCCCTGTGCGTGTGCGTACGAGTATGTATGTCGCCCAAGACATTACGTGCGCTTGGGATGTGCGTGAGTGACTGACATGACAGCTGTTTCATTTGTCGGTTTGCCGTTCTGTGTTGTCGATGCGGTCCATTTCCTCTCTCACACACGCACACATACACAGACGCGCATATGGTTAGTCAGGTGTCCTAGGCAAACATACGCATGCACATCGCACATGCATCCTACCCGTCCCATCCCTCACTCGGCGTGTGTTCAATGCTGTTGCGCTTCCTTCTACGGTAGCTTTGTTCTTGACTGTACACACACCAGCTGCTGCTGGCCTCTCGACTCAAGCCTGTATCTGCCGCACGAGTCGTGATGGCCCTCCTCCAGGAACCTGCGTGTCATCACGAGACAGATACGCACATACAAACGTCCGTCGCTTACTCGCGGGGTGAGCCGTTCCAGCCGCACATCTCGCCCCCCTCGTAAGCGTGCATTTCCTCCATGAAATCACGACGAGTGATGCCCTTCTCCTGAACACACAGGAATGCATCAGAGCTGCTGTGTGTCCTTTGTGTTGTCTGGTGCATGCCGCTACCAGCCGACCGACCGGGTCTTTGGCTTTGATGGCGAGTGTGAGCAGGACATTCTCGAAGTCCGTATACTTGCCGATGCGGCCCAGCTTGCACTTCTCGAAGTCACGCCAGCCTGACGCACACACAGAAGGGGCGGGGCCACACGTGCATTCACGAATGAGGATGGGATCGGTGCGGACGCACCTTGGTTGGGCTGCTGGCGGTAGTGCTCGGGTACGTTGGTGATGATGATGCTGGGATACGGGTAGACTACCACCTGCCACATAATCCATCCATCCATCCGTCCAACTGAAGAAGTGCAGTTGGCATACCTTCATTTTCTTCTCGTGCTCCTCAGGGTCGTCAGCGGCCGAGTGAACGTACTTCCGGAGTCCCTCCTGGAAGTCGGGGGCGTAGATGCCTCCGAGATCGATGAACTGCGGCTCGTTCGGGCGGCTGGCCTTCTTGACCTCCTTGAGCACCTCCTGCAGACCCATGCAGCACAACAGATGGATGGATGGATGGATGGATGGATCTGTGCCAATTCCATGGTGCAATTGTCGGCACGTACCTTCAGACGAGCCTCATAGTTCTCGGCCGACACTACGCCCTTCTGGTGGGCCACCTCCTGCCGCGGCGCTGCCGACGACGAGCTCATGGTGAAAAAGGGCGATGGTTGCACACACCGACGATGTTGACGATGGACACGCAGGCCGAGAACACCAGGACGTGGTCCGATGCCAGGATCTGCCAGGATCCACTGGGCCAGGATCGCACACCGGTTTCAAGCTCGCAGAGGCAGATCTGGCTCTAAGCTTCGCACCATCTCTCAGGGAGGCCTACCTATCGACTACAGCCGCTTTGACCAGCAGGAGATATCGACTCATCTGACGATGAATGACCTTCGAATGTCGGCTGAGTGCCGAGAGCCGCTATGGGCTGCGAGTGGAGCAAGAGAGAACCTGAGGGGAGACATCCGAAGAGCGAGGAGGACTGGGATGCTTTGAAAAGGGTGGTGAAGGCCATTGATTCGATTGACGATGAGCTGCCGTGCATCCTTGACACCGGAAGCCTCTGGATGAAGCACATACATCTTCTCGACGCCGTACTCAACGAAGACGGGGTGGGTACACACACACACGCATGAGCACATGCGCCTACACAAAAACAACGCACGTGGTCCTGGGTCCGTGCGTCTGTGTGTGCAGACGATCAAGGATAGGTATCGGAGGGCGTTCATCGAGAGGTGTGGCATGATGTCCTTGCGGAGAGCGCGGAAATTCAGAGAGAAGCTGCTGCGCGAGTGGGGCGGGGCGGCCCGCCTCAGGTGAGTGACGGACTGACACCCGCTGAATGAACACCACTCGTGTGTGTGTGCGTGTGTGTGTGTGTGTGTCAGGAGGCTTGAAGCACTGGGGAGCCGCCTGCTGCCACCCGTTGAGCAAACATCGCCATCAGGCGGGCAGCAACTGACGGATCCCCTGCTGCACAGGAAGTAGTGATTGCATCGGCAGGTTGGCAGACAGGAGGGAGAGAAGCAGGAAGCCACGACAGGAGGTGTGCGCTCGGGATGCTTATGTGTATGCAGACGGCGCCAGCAGCCCCATCGTCTGTCGTGTGAGGCTCAGGTCGCCCAACGTCCGCGGCAGCTACCGGCTGTTCCTGCTCACCGACAAGGCGACGTCCCCCTTCCTGGCGTATTCCCACGTGCTGCGCGAGGAGGGGGCCGACAGCGTGTCGGTGTCGGTGGGCGCCTTCTGCGACGAGGGTGCCCCGTACGACGCCACGCGGGAGCTGTTTGTGCGGTGTGTGGGCGCCGAGATGGGTATGCGCCTGTGTGAGGAGATCGACGGATGAAGACGCTGCAGCAGTGCCGAGAGATAGGCCGCAAGACGTTTATCGTCAGGTGTGTAGAGTAGCCAGCCTCTGTAGCTCTGTAGGTGGTCTGTGTAGCATGGGTCCTTTTCTGTTGGACGGACAGATGCGATGCTGTCGTGATACATTGCGAGTGGATTCATTTGCCATCCATCCATTGTGCGTGATCGATTCAATCCATTCCACACACGAACGCATGAATTGTCGGGCTGTCCTAAGCAGCATCGCACAATGCAAGCAGACACAGACACACATCTGCGCAGACGTACATGAAATGAACGAATTCAACAAACCAAAAGCGATTCTGCTGCGCTAGCGACGGTGGCCTTGTATTGATCTGTGTAGCTTTGTCTTTGCCTGTACACACACCAGCTACTGCTGGCCTCTTGAGTGGTCAGCGGCTGTAGCGGAGTCTGTATCTGCCGCACGAGTCGCGATGGCCCGTGCCCAGGAACCTGCATGTCATCACGAGACAGATACGCACATACAAACGTCCGTCGCTTACTCGCGCACTTCGCCGTTCCAGCCGCACATCTCGCCGCCCTCGTAGGCGCGCATCTCCTCCATGAACTCACCACGAGTGATGCCCTTCTCCTGAACACGCAGGGGCACCATACCCAAACCACACGTGTGTGGTTCGGGCGACACAGACAGGCCGACATGGAGATTCAATACATGGTTGATACATGAGTACCTTCATCTTGTCTTCCGTCAATCTGTTGTCATCTGAGACACATGCCTCCTCCTCTCCCCCTCTCTCTGCGCGTGTGTGTGCTAGGTGTGCGCGTGTTGCTCCTCTTTGTCTTCAGAGAAGCGCATCAATCGCTCGGGAAATGAACCAAGATATAAAATGTAGGCAGCGATTCCCTCTCCTGCTGTGTGGCAACAACAACAAAGGGGATGCGATGTCCGTGTGAGTGTGATGTGTGTCATACAGGAACCGCCCTGCCCCACTCCCCTTGGCCACTCGCTGCCCTGCGCCGTTACTGTACTGTACCTGCACGGTGCTGACACACACACACACATTCAAACAGCCCACGTCATGTAAGTGATGCTGGTGGCCACCCAGACACACGCATTGATACCTCCTCAGCCACTTCTGGGTTGATGTCTTCAGGCGGCCGTTGTTGGTAATCTGAAGGAAGGCCGAATGAACAGATTGTGTGTGGTGCCGATGCGGAGCTCTCACCATCAAGCTGCTGCTTGAGCCGGTTGATCTCATTTCTGAATCGGGCGGCAACGGCGTACACCCCCTTCACGAGCTCGTCTCTCTCACGGGCGAATTTCGCCTCCATTGTGTCCTTCATTGCCACTGTCGCCTGGTAGATGCATGCACACAAGAGAGAGGAAAGGAAGCGCACGGACCGATGCATGTACGAGGGCGTGTGGATGGAAAATGTGTCGTTGGCTCTCACCGCCAGCTCATCTTTGGTCTTTGTTAGCGTGTCTCTGGTAGAATGCATGGCATAGGATGCGCAAAGATTCCATGTCTATGCGTGTACGGTACCTCAGCTCATTCAGCCTGCGATACTCGGCCATGGCCTCCTGCAGCTCCTGAACAATCTGGCCGCCCGTCGCCGTCTTCTCAACCTTCACCAACACCTGTGGGTGGCAGAGGACAGCACACACACACAGAGGGAGAGAGAGAGGGAGAGACGCCATGTGTGTGTGTCCAGCCGTCTGGTGTTGTCTGACCTGATCCAGGCCCTTGCGAGGCTCGTCGTTCTCTGGCTCGATCATCTTCAGACCCTCCTGCACACAGAGAAAGTCCCTGAAGCCACATACACGAATAAATGACACAATGACATCTTGATGAGATCATCGATGATTTCATTGATTGTTCTCGTCCGCGAGCTCCTGCTTCTCCTTCTTGAGCGTTTTGTTCTCCATCTCCAGACCCTCATTCTGGTCGCTGAACCAAAGCAAGGGAAAGTGACACCGCACAGGCATGACATCGATGTGCACATGTGTTGATCTGTATGCGCACCTTCCCTTCCTCCTCCAGTCTCTCGTAGAGGCGGCGATTCTCCTCTTCCAGCTCTGCTGATCGGCCCTCCAGGTCCCAAATCTCCTTGCTCGCACTGAGATTAGCTTCCAATAGATTGTGATTGGACTCGATCGCGAGGCCTCGGAAGGCACTGGCGCGGTGCTTGTGCTCGAGCATCTGGTCGGTTGAGAGGAGGCGCATACAATAGGCAGACATTCATGCCCCTTCCATACTGGTCTTTCTGACCTCTTCCCTCGTCCTCTTCTCTCGTCATCCTTGGTCGCTTCTCGGTCCGTCGGCCTTAGTCGGCTTCCTTTCTGAAATCGCCCAAGAGGCTTGCCAGAAAGTGAGCGTCTCTTGCCTTCTGCAGGCGTACATACACACCTACCGTCCAAAGAGAGGGAAACAGAGAGCGGGCAACGGGTCAGGTATGTGACTCGGAGCAGTCGGAATGGGCGGCGGCACACGAGGGGCAGGGGGCGGGTGGAAGGGTGGTCGCACAGAGCACACAGGCAGGAGAAGGTGAAGGCCGAGGGAAGGCGCGTGAAAGCTGAGAACGTAGAAAAAAGGTAGGGTTTCCAGGGTTGTCTCGGATTTCAATTCTCGCCGCGATCTGTCACGTGCCATCCAGAGATATTCCGGGGGAACGTTACGTGGCCGATTGCGCACATCGTTTTTCACGAAGACGATGGGTCGTTTCGGTTTTGCTGCCATCCTGCTGGTCGGCTTCGTAGCCGTTGTGGCATCTCAGCGCACCAACGACCGCCGTCAGCAGAGGGGGGACGCACCTGCGCCGAATCGACCGTGCACCATGCAGCAGCATGGCAGATCTGCCCACATCTGCCCATACTGAGTGTTTTCTCTGCTCTTTTGTCCATACGGATGGATGGCTGATGTATGGCTGCAGAGGTGTCGGTGGCTGCTCATGAGGACGGTAGGTGTTCTTGCCGGCGCCGGATCCTCCATCCGACTGCACTGCATCCAGCGCATCGCATATGTATGTCTATTTTTGCAGGTGGGGAGGTGTCTGCGGCAATAGGTCTGCGGCGTTCGTGCAGCTGCAGCTGGACCACGCCAAGAGCACCCTCACGGCCGCTTGTGATCTGATCACCGCCGCCATCAACACCATCGACACGGCCCACCGGACCATCATCTCAAAACCAGGTCAGCTCGGTCACATGGCACGTATACGCCCTGGCCACAGGTGGGTGTGTGTATGCGTGTGTGTGTGTGTGCATGTGTGTGTGTGTATGTGTGTGCAAAAGGGGCTTCATGCGGTTACGACGATTTCGGCGACGAATCCGGTGCCGGCGTGACTCTCTGCGGCGGCGAGGACGAAGTGTGTCTCATTGAAATGGCGGATTCGTTCGGAGGTTATGGCAAGTGCATCAAGGAGAGCGAGGTAAAGGGAAAGCACGCGCCCTGCGACGGGGAGAAGGGAATCTGGAAGAATTGGGGGGGCAAGTTCCTCTGCAGCTAGCTGATGGGGTGGATCCAGCTCGATAGTAAGTAGGGTGGGGCTGAGTGGGGTGGGGCTCGTACGGGGATCACTCCACTTGTCTGTCTGCCTGTCTGCATGATGGATGGGTTTTAAAACACGTGTGCTCTATTTGTGTGTGCCTGTGGTGTGACGTGTTGTGGTCTGCCGCTCTCCTTCTTTTCCGGTGAGTATAGACAGCGCAGAGGAGACTCGATGGATGGATGGATGGCCTGTCTGTCTGTGAATCGGTGGTAGGAGGGCTGTCGCCGTACACGTCGCATCAGAGAGAGGGACCGTCGTGTGTCGCGCTCTATACCGACCGGTGTGCATATTCGTGTGGGTACATAATGGTGAGGGACGCACGGACGCATCAATTACTGGTGGAAGAAGGTGCACAAAGCGCTGCTTTCACACACATGGTGCAGGTCTGTGCCGCACACAAGTCAGTCGTCGAGCCAGCCGAATAAACAGAGAAACACATAACACGTATACGGGCTGAATATGCACAACACAAATCTATGCGATCGATGCACATCAAGACATACATACCGACAGGTACTTACCTGTGTGTGTGTGGATGGTGAAGGAATGCATTAACAGTACAGACAGACCAACGACCGACGTCAGACAGACACAGTACACACGGACATAGACAGACAGACAGACAAATGACGGGTGCCCATATACGCCTACAAAGCCCTACCTACTGGTACCACACACCAACGAACGTACACGCACAGATGCGCCCGTCAGTCACATCAATCAGTCAATCACACCCGGCGATTCTGCGACCGCTCCCATCTCATGACACACCTGCACACACACACACACACAGCGCACACAGAATGGGGTCGACCGACCTTCGTCCCAGACACAAGGAAGGCTGTCTGACCTCCAAGCGACCAGCTGCACAACGTAGGCCACACACGCCGGCCCGATTGTCGCCCAAAAGGCCGCGGCCGCCAGCATCTGGGGGTCCGTCAAGGCAGTCAGCGAGCGCACCACCAACCGTCTCCCAGCAGCGTCCCTGACCGAATCGAATGATACACACGCAGAGCAGCCGTATGTGTTTGTCTCTCTGTTGTTTGTGTCAGTCAGGTTCTCACCATCCACACACGCCGTGGGGGTAGAATGGCTGCATGGTGCCTTTGTTGGCGTCGAAGGGCAGCTGGGCGGGGCCGTTGGTCGCCAGACCGATCGCACAGGCGCTCATGGCCGACAGGTACGGGCTCACCGCCTCACACACACCTGCACACACACGCGTGTGTGTGTGTGTGAGGCGTTGACTGATGCGCGTGTGTGTGTACCTCCGATTGCGAGTGCGACTGACCCCCAGACGACGACACGCCAGCGGGACTTGAGCAGCTGTATCTTCAACACCTGCGCCAACACACACACACACACACGTGTGTGTGTGTGAGCAAAGGTGCGTGTGGCCGACTGACTGACCCCAGCGGCGCTCATCTTGACGTTGTCGAGCAGCAGGGTGCCCACCACCACCACCAGGGCACACACATAGCTGCCCCGATCTGTCACCACACACACATATGATGACACACACCCCTGTCTATGTAAAAGCGTCCTAAGCAGCATCGCACAATGCAAGCAGACACAGACACACATCTGCGCAGACGTACATGAAATGAACGAATGGGTCCGTCTGCGCTAGCACTCGCAACGTTAACACGCTTCGAAGCGCATCAATTGCTCGGGAAATGAACCAAGATATAAGATGTACGCAGCGATTCCCCCGCCCTCCCCCTGCTTGTCAACCAGTCAATCACACCCGTCGATTCTGCGACCGCTCCCATCTCATGACACACCTGCACACCCACACACACAGCGCACACAGAATGTGGTCGACCGACCTGTGTCCGTCCCAGACACAACGAAGGCTGTCTGTCTGACCTCCAAGCGACCAGCTGCACAACGTAGGCCACACACGCCGGCCCAGGCGTCGCCCAGAAAGCCGCGGCCGCCAGCATCTGGGGGTCCGTCAGGGCAGTCAGCGAGCGCACCACCAACCCTCTCCCAGCAGTGTCCCTGATCGATTCGAATGACACACACACACAGACACAGGCAGACCTGGGGGTGGATTCCGCGAAGTGGGTTGGAGAGAAGAAGTGGGTTATAAATAGAAGGGTTGTTTGGATGGTTTTCGCACCAAGCCCTGGGTGGTCTTGGTTCTTGTCTATCAGTCGTATGTGGGCCTGCAGGTGGCCATCAATGGTCATCCTACGGTCAAGCTTGCGTAGCGTCGTCGGTTTGCTGACCCGCCCCTCTCTCTTGGCGTGTGTGGCCAACTCGAGGTGCACTTGACCCATGTGTTGGATGGGCCGGGCCACACACACAGAGCGAAAGACGTGCCTGAGGAGATGACACTCACACAAAGAGGGGAGGGAGCGGGTCAGTCAGAAGTAAGTACCTCAGAGAGCACCGCTCGATGGCTGTGCGTACCAAGTCGGATGCCCCGGTCAATCTATTGCCCAGAAATCTCCGGCACACGCCCTCGTGGCTGAGCTGCACATGCGGCAGATCCCCACACACACAACAGTATGTCTGTGAGTGATTGCAGGCAAACGCACAGTGGGCAGAGGCCAATCAACGCATAGCATAGCGCTCACCGAGAGCAGTCCTCTGACACCCAAATGAGCCTTGGGGTCTTCGCGCAACTGACGCGGCCATCTCGACCTGCGGATCAGAAATAGTGGGACAGGCGGACTTTTTAAACCCCCTCCCCGTTTCCCCCCGCCGCCGCCGCCCCCGGGTTTCGAGGGCCTGGCGGAGTCGTTTTCTGTGGCATGGCCTTCCGTCGCGCCCTTTTCACTCTTGCCGTCTTCATCCTCGCTGTGCACCAATGCTGCCAGGTACACAGTTGAAACGGGACGCAGTGCTTCCCCCTGTCTGTCGTGCGAACTTACAGGGTGCCGGACCAGGCAACCGCTCGCACAAGGGCCAGCCAGGCAACCACACACAAGACCACACACACAAGGGCCGGCCAGGCAACCACACACAGAAGGGCACGTGCACGTGTTGGGACGACAAAGAATCCGTGAGGGCCGACATCCACAGGGAGTTTGCCAGTGGCGGTGTGATTTGGGGACAGGAATCTGAATCCATCTCCGAGGGTCTGCTTGACAAGTTCGCACGAGAACTGAGTTTCGATTTGGGTCGGTTCGGCACACCAGTGCCAGCTGTGGATAAGGAGACCATTCGCTGGCTCACAGACAGTAAGACCGTCCTACAGGGAGCCTTCCTCCTTCTGATCCTTTTGGTTTCTCAGATGCCCTCTCAGCGAGGAACTTCGTTGTTGACGACAAGCTGGTTCGCTGCGCTATCAGACAGCACACAGGTCTCCATCTCCGTGCATCCATGTGTGCAGGTGTCCGTGGTGTATCGTCGTGCTTTATATCCGAAGGAGACTTGCAATCCCCGGTTTTGCTGGCCACACGGATTTTCATGCAGCAAATGCGGATGTTCATCGCGAGGGTGCAGGCTTTCTAAGACCGACCAACCTTATGTGGGCTGGAAGATCGTCACGCACGGCGTGAGTCCTGCACAGCCATGCCGACACCCAGCCGCCTTCAAGTCGTGCCCAACGGACCCCGGCGACCGCTTCGTGGTCTTCCCGCCCAACCTTGACCCTTGGCGCGGCAGGGCGGTGGCCGATGCTACAAGCCTTGGCCCCTGGGAGGTGGTGTGTCTCATCACCCTCAACAACAATGACGGTCGGTTGATGGCTGAAGAGGAGGTCGCCATGATCTCTCACGGTCATAATAGTCGCGACCAACAGTTCATCACGTCGCTTCCAGAGGGAGTGTTTGCCGCCCGCAAAGCAATCAGCAACTGGGAGCGCATGCGCATCTTCAAGCTGGGTGGAGACCGCCAGCCCATTGGCGGCCAGATCAGCTATGGTGACAAGGTGGCGGTGTGGAGCAAAGCATCGGGAAAGTGGTGGGCTGCTGAGCAGTGCAATGGCGGCGTCAACGCCAACAGGGAAACCATCGGTCCGTGGGAAACGTTCCTGTATACCAAGGGCGAGTGCACGTGTTGGGACAACAAAGAATCCAAGAAAGCCGACATCGCCAGGGAGTTTGCCAGTGGCGGTGTGATTTGAGGACCGGTTTGGGGACCGGAACATTCAGATTCCTCCTTTTCCGTCACTGAGGATCTGCTTGACGAGTTCGCACGAAAACTGAGTTTCGATTTGGGTCGGTTCGGCACACCAGTGCCAGCTGTGGATAAGGAGACCATTCGCTGGCTCACAGACAGTAAGACCGTCCTACAGGGAGCCTTCCTCCTCCTTCTGATCCTTTTGGTTTCTCAGATGTCGGCTCAGAGAGGGACTTCGTTGTTGGCGACAAGCTGGTTCGCTGCGCTGTCAGAGAGCACAAAGGTCTCCATGTCCGTGCTTCCATGTGTGCAGGTGTCCGTGGTGTATCGTCGTGCTTCATATTCGAAGAAGACTTGCGAGTCCGAAAGGATTTGCTTGGGGTGCAGCAACTGCGGATGTTCATCGCTAGGGTGCAGGCTTTCCTCGAGCAACCAACCTTATGTGGGCTGGAAGATCGTCACGCACGGCGTGAGTCGTGCACAGCCATGCCGACACCCAGCCGCCTTCAAGTCGTGCCCAACGGACCCCGGCGACCGCTTCGTGGTCTTCCCGCCCAACCTTGACCCTTGGCGCGGCAGGGCGGTGGCCGATGCTACAAGCCTTGGCCCCTGGGAGGTGGTGTGTCTCATCACCCTCAACAACAATGACGGTCGGTTGATGGCTGGAGAGGAGGTCGCTATGATCTCTCACGGTCATAATGGTCGCGACCAACAGTTCATCACGTCGCTTCCAGAGGGAGTGTTTGCCGCCCGCAAAGCAATCAGCAACTGGGAGCGCATGCGCATCTTCAAGCTGGGTGGAGACGGCCAGATCAGCTATGGTGACAAGGTGGCGGTGTGGAGCAAAGCGTCGGGAAAGTGGTGGGCTGCTGAGCAGTGCAATGGCGGCGTCAACGCCAACAGGGAAACCATCGGTCCGTGGGAGACGTTCAGGATCCGATTCCTGTGATCGATTGATGTCAGGGGTCTGGAGTGTGGGGCTGACTGACCCGTCTGTGTGTGTGTGTCGGGTCCACGGGACACAGACAGTCCTTTGCATATGGATCGCTTCTCTATTCGGGTGCATTTTTTCTTCCGTACGTATTTGTATACGTGCTCGGCTGCATGATCATTTTTCGGCTCTCCTGTGCCTGCCTTGCAGAATTTTCTGTGTGCGTGTGTGGATGCGTGTGCTGGTAGTTAGTGCATGGAGCCATCGACAAATGTCTATCGGTGGATAGAGACGTGCCTGTGTAGTGTTTCGTGTCTATTTCAGTCAGCACCGGCCTGCAAGTAGAAGTCCGTTGTGTCTTTGCGTGGGTGGTGGAATTCCGACACCACATCGTTCGAACATGTCATTATGCATCACTCACAGACCCATCCACACACACACGATGCTGTAGCCCTAAATCCACCTAAGTATGTGGTGTGGATGAAGGCATGAGCGCGTGGAAACAGCGCTTTGTGCACGTTGGAAACCACACATGATGTGTTCAGGTCTGTGCCGCACACACGTCAGTCAGTCGGCCAACATACACCATTGATTGCATGATGCGATCCATACACATCAGGCAGTCAGTCGTCGAGCCGAATAAACAGAGAAACACATAACACACGGGCTGAATATAGACAACACAAATCTATACGTGCGATGCACATGAAGACAGACAGACATACACAGACATACCGACCGACAGGCACTTACCTGTGTGTGTGGATGATGGATACGAAGGAATGGACAGTACAGACCAACGACCGACGCCAGACAGACACAGTACACTCCGACACAGACAGACAGAGCGCAGACAGACAGACAAAACCGGTCGGTCGTCAGTCGTCATATGTGTGTATGTGTGTGGATGGCACCGACAAATGACGGGTGCCCATATACGCCTACAAAGCCCTACTTACTGGTACCACACACCAACGTACACGCACACTGCACACTGCACACATGCGCCCGTCACATCAATCAGCCAATCACATTCGTCGGTTCTGCGACCGCTCCCATCTCATGACACACCTGCACACGCACACACACACACACAGCACGCAGCGCAGAGAAATAGCACGTTCATCGCGGCGTGAGTGGGGTTGGCACACACAAGGAAGGCTGTCTGTCTGACCTCCAAGCGACCAGCTGCACAACGTAGGCCACACACGCCGGCCCAAGCGTCGCCCAGAAAGCCGCGGCCGCCAGCATCTGGGGGTCCGTCAGGGCAGTCAGCGAGCGCACCACCAACCCTCTCCCAGCAGCATCCCTGATCGATCGAATGACACACACGCAGAGCAGCCGCAGCCGCATGTGTGTGTCTCTCTGTTGTGTGTGTCAGGTTCTCACCACCCACACACGCCGTGGGGGTAGAATGGCTGCATGGTGCCTTTGTTGGCGTCGAAGGGCAGCTGGGCGGGGCCGTTGGTCGCCAGACCGATCGCACAGGCGCTCATGGCCGACAGGTACGGGCTCACCGCCTCACACACACCTGCACACACACGCGTGTGTGTGTGTGAGGCGTTGACTGATGCGCTTGTGTGTGTACCTCCGATTGCGAGTGCGACTGACCCCCAGACGACGACACGCCAGCGGGACTTGAGCAGCTGTATCTTCAACACCTGCGCCAACACACACACACACATGTGTGTGTGTGTGTGTGTGTGTGTGTGAGCAAAGGTGCGTGTGGCCGACTGACTGACCCCAGCGGCGCTCATTTTGACGTTGTCGAGCAGCAGGGTGCCCACCACCACCACCAGGGCACACACATAGCTGCCCCGATCTGCCACCACACACACATATGATGACACACACCCCTCTCTATGTATATGCGTTTGACCGTCCCGGTGCGAGTGTGTGTGTACCTCCCCCGGTGGCAGCGAGGTGCATTCCGAGTGCTCTCAGGATTGCGGGCGGCGGCACCAGCAGCGCCAGGCCGGTCACCGGCCACAACGACTTTTGACGCATACGCGAGATCAGACCGAAGATGGCCATGGACACGACGGCCGCCAGCACGCCCGTGACACCCAGCACCACACCGACCGTTGAGGCCCCCTCACCCCCTGAACACACACACATGCGCTTCTTTGTGTTTTGTGTTCGTGTTTGTGGGTATTCCGTCACCAGAGGCATCGGCAGTCCCCGGCTCTCCCATGTCGTCGGTAGCCAGCCGTCTCAGCAATGAGTGCAGGGCCATCTGCTGGTGGTGGTGAGATGAAGCGCTCTCGGTGCTTGTGCCGGGCTCCTGAGGCATGGGTGTGGAGGTGGCGAGCATCAGCAGCCACGCCAGCCACAGCACAGAGGGGAACGACGACAGCGAGCTGAGCCACAAGCAACCAAACAGACAGACAGAGGAGATGTGTCTATGTGTGGGGGCGGGGCGGTTTGTCTGACTTGATGCAGTCTGCTGCAGCGATGGTCCAGAAGCATGTGGCTGAGGAGGGATGGCCGGCCTTTGGTGTGGCTGCTGGTGGCTGTGAGGCCTTGTGGCGCCTCTTCGAGCACAGTAAAGGCACGTCGAACGGCCTGCAAAGATGCCATGCGTGGACACACACGCACAGGTATCTCATGGTGTGTGTGTGTGTGTGTACCACTCGACGCTGGGCAGCTTGGTCTCTCCGATCACCGGCGGGAGCCCCAGCAGCAGTGCAAGACCCACCAGAAACAGCAGCACACTGCACACACATTCCCCCCCCCCCCCCCCCCCCC